TGTTCTACAAAAAAAAAAAAAAAGTCTTAATGTAACTGTTTTCTAAGCCTTTGCCCTTCAGAGAAGAAAATAGCAACTTGGGAAAAGAGGTCAGCACTGTCATCTTTAGAATTTTCTGCAAATTTTGCACAACAAAATTGTAGAATTTCAATTTTAAAACTAGAGTTATTAAAAAACCTGAAGACTGAAAAAATATACATATATACACAAATGTGTGTGTGTGTATATATATAAAAATACATGCTGGAAATGGAACAGTAGGAATTCTTCTGATTTGTGGTACCTGTGCCTGATCTTCAGAAATCAGGTCACAGGATTCCAGTCAAAATGTGAACGTAGAATATTATGATTGTTACCTTCTGTGCTATGCCTCTATATCTATAAAAGGGGTTGCAGCTCCTATTATTTCCACACGTTCTGAGGTAGATTGTAGTAAAATATATGGTATCTGAGGGCTCTTCTTAGATTCCTTCTTCCCTTCCTGCCCACCCCCCACACCTGCCCTGAGGTGATTTTGTTAGGCTAAGGTATTTTTGCTAGGTACTGATAAATCTTTTTTCTAAATGTTGGCTTAGAAATACTATTTTCCTAAAAATTCTGAGAGTCCTTTTGCTTATGTGTTTGGGTAATAAAGGCACTACTGTAGCCTTCTAGTTCCAGGATTAACTTGGTTGATGCTAGTCTAGGGATCTTAAGAGCAGGTTTCCTTGGGCAATGGAGACGTGCTCTTAATCGTCGCTCTGAGTGGTTGTCACTGGAGGACTATATCTAGAATATTTTAGAATCTGCATCTTTTGAATCATGCAGATGCCTGTGTCTCACATCCTACAAGAGCTGTGAGGACTACTTTCCCATTTATAGAAGGATTATTTTTCTTCTTTGTTCTGTTGCACACTAATCTTTTCAGTTGATTGTTTGTAGTGCAGTAGTGTGCTCTCTTGAATAAGCTTTTGATAGTAAAGAAAGATTTTGAGTTGTTTGGATCTTTGTTCCTCTGTAGAGCTGACTGATATGATATATGGAAAAATGTTACATGTATGTGCCTATGTACAAAGTGTGTGGACAAGTGAAGCTTTATGGACTGTGAACTTCTATAGGTTACTCTTTCTGAAAAACAGAGCAGCTTTCTAATTTTAGTAATTTTTTTCCCTCCTTTGCAAGCAGAAGACTTCATTCAGGCGTTCAAAAAAAAATTTGCATCTGTTCTTCCACTTCAGACTCTATAATTAAAGACAATATTGCTCTGCCATGATAGGAGAAGACTTGGTGATTAGTTATCAAATACTGATTGCTGTTCGCTGAAACTGAAAGATGCACTAGTTAAAAGGAAAAATTGAAATAAAAGTGAAGGTATCTCATGTATAAGACTAAAATGTTTGCTAGATGTTTTCATTTTTGATTAAATCAAAACAAAGCTGCTTCTAAAGCTCATTAACTCATGCCAGGACCTTGACATCCTGAAACTTATTTCTTCCAACTGAGTAGCTAGCTGAAATCAGTGAGAAAGTATTACTTCTGTGATTTAAAATTGTCATATTTGCATTCATGCAATAAGGAATAAAATCCTGGATGAAGAATAAATTCTGAAAACTTAGGTATGGCTACTATTTTTTTTTTTTTTTTTGAGATCAACATGATATTTTGAGCGGGTAGTCATATTTAGTTTTAAAATGAGGTTTAAAAGCAGGAAGGGGCGAGAAGAGGAGGTAGAGAGTAAAATATACTCCTGATGGTAATGTCATAGGCACAAGGGAATTTATGCTATAATCTTATGTTAACACATTTGCAGTACAGTAATAAAGTGAATTGTACCCATGTTCCCTATTCTGGGTTAGATTTTTGTGTATCCTAGAGTTACACCACTCTCGGATTCGTAGATCCGAGTCACGTATTCTTGTGGAAGATAGGTTATTGCTTGGAATTCTGTGTGCTAGTTATTAATTCGTCATACTGATTTTTAAGTGTGTAATATTGCATGTTGGTTTGACATTGAGATTAATTTTTTGTTTGCGATAGTTAGAACTGGAAGAATGCCTGCTAAAATTAAAGGAAGAAAGAAGAGCCAGAGTAAAGGCTGAGGAACGGATAGTGGAGGTAATGATTGTTAAGTATTGATCTTTACTTTTAAGGATGCAGAAATCAAACTATCCTCTTGTTTAATTACGACTAATTATTGATAACCTCTAAACTGGTGGTTTCCAAAGCTTCAGTTCAAAATCACATGGATCACTTACCAGCCTAAGGGCAATGATGAAATGTGCATTTAGTAATGTGTGTTTGTTCTTCTGGTGTCTTGCTGTTGGTCCGGTTCCAGAGCCTTGAACTCGAGGTTTAGCTTCTCTTTTCAAAGTGCTTCATTCATTCAGTGTGTTAGTTATGATCCAAGGCATCCTGTTTGCTTTCTAGAGAAAGTGATTAATTCTGCTTGTAATTTATGGCAGACGGATTGGTCTCTGAGGTCTCCCACCTTTGTTACCGTATGAGCAGCTTGCTCGTATAAAAACTGTTTGCTGTAAATCTTACTTATTCTGTCCCTTTTATTTTTATCTTGAGTTGATGTTGCTGACCTGAAGAGACCCTTTTGAATCAAGGGTAATTAGTAAGCAGAATTTCTTGTAACAGAGTTCAGCATAAGAAAGTGTAAATGAGTGGATCTAGGTTTTTATATATGATCTTCAGTGGAGTGAAAGCGGTGGTACTTTTGAAACTTGAGCAACAAATGGTGCCTCCTGACATCTTCCGCAGTAGAGCGAGCAGATACCAAAAAATATCTGGAATCCTTCAGCCTGGCCATCCTCCTGTAATGTGAAGTGTGACAGTGGGCTCTGCTGGGTCTGTGTTGTTTGAAGACTTAGATGACTTTTAGTCTAAATGCACCCTGCAAGAAGTCTTTCTATGTCGTGCTGGACTGCTTGTGCTTAGAACCTTGTCTGAGGGGAAGGGGTGAACTAAATAGCAATGATCTCTAAACCTGTCACTTTCAGTGATGCTAGTGTAACAACTATGATAGATTGCATGGTTCTGTAATTTTTCTGGTCTTATCTCATAAAAGATGAAAAAGGAAAGCCTGTGGGTATGACGTCTTAAATGGACGTCTGAGTCAATGCTTCACTTGAATGCAAAACCATTCCTATCCTACCATTACTGTTCAGCTTTCAGATGATGATGTTGACTTGATACAGCGTGAAGAAAAATGGGTTCACTTTGAACTTTTCATTTTTGGCATGCACAAAGCAGGAGAGAGACAGTTAAGCGCGTTAGTTTTAATATGGAGGGCTGAACATAACGGGAATGTTGGCCTTCATTAGGCTTTTGCCTTTTTTTTTTTTTTTTTTTTAAAGAAAAAAAGGCAAGTACTTTGTGTGTGGGTCTTCATGTGTCGTATAGCAAGTGCAAAATAACATGGCTTAAAAGCTAACTTTTTGCTTGTGCTTACGCTGCAGCATTACGTTCATGCTAAAGATAGTGCTGAACCAGCAGTTTTGAGTAGCTTAAGTGAATTCACTATGGTAGCACAGAATTGCAGCTGTGGATAAAGAAACCTGCATGGAGATCTGTGTAACAGTGACCTGAGTACCTCTGGTACAGAAAGCTCCATACCACTAATGTTGAGGATTTCTCTTTGCACTACTACACTGTGCGCCTTCGAAGGTCTCTTTTTTTGTTTTGAACTGAGAATGATAGAAATGGCTTAAACTTTTTCCCCCGTTTTTTATAGCTGGAAATTGAAAATGCAAGGTTGAGGAATGTAAACATCTCCCTGTCTGAGGTTCTTCATGCACAGTCAGTAACCAACATGATTTTGGAAGATGAAGGTGTTCTAGGCAGCATTGAGAACTCTTTCCAAAAGTTTCATGCTTTTTTAGACCTCCTTAAAGATGCTGGGTAGGTTGTTGCTTTATTATACGAATTCTAACTTTTCTGCTGTTATCCTTTTCCAAAATTATCCTCACTGTGATATGCGCTGCCTTCTCTCCCAGAACCTCTAGGAGTATACTGGCAACAAACAATGGAAGATAAATTAACTTCTTTACTTGCTGTTTAATCTTCTCTCCCTGAAAAAGCATACCCAAACACACTCAAAGTGAGTTTATGTCTCTGCCCATGGGAAAGATTTTCAAGAGTGCCTTCTCAAAAGAGAAGAAAGCTTTTATTAAAACATTTTTATTCAGCCTCTATTGAATCATCTGTGGTTCTTAGTGTTCCCTTTGTAAGAAAGGCTCAGTTGAACTGGTTTCAGAAAGTGTGCACCTTTCTTCCTTCCATGGCTCCCTCTTACTGACTGAAGTACATGAAGTGAGATGGGATGAATCTGGCCCCTGTACTGAAATTCTAGATAACTCGTTATGTATTGAAATACACTGGGGTCTAGAGAGTCTCATTTGCCTTCCCGTGCTCCCTTCCCCCTCCTTCCCAATTGTAATAATGTAAATTAATGAAGAGTTCCCCGAGAGGCAGTGTTCTAATTCCATGCAAATCAATTGGTAGAGTTGCATTTACTTTTAGGATAAGTTTCAGGCTTTGGAGGAAAGGAGGATTGATCTCTTGGTATATCAAGAACAAATTTTTCAAATGGACCCTACATCTATTCGTGTCAATAGGGAGCTGCTCTGAAAGTTAGGTAATTAGAATCACAAAAATTGGTTGTCTCAAAAAGCTTGTATGATGTTATGCCACCAATTGGTGGCCTGTGACTTTTCAGTTCCTGTTGGGGCTTAGGCTAACAAACCCCAAGTGGTATGTTTGGCCAACTTCTGTGCTGCCAAGCGAAACGACGTGTCTGTATTTGTGAAGCATGTAATTGGATTTGGCTGCTAGAGACAATGCCAGTTTTGGGAGACGTGCACCAATCTTCTGCTTGAGTGATGGACCTTTATTCTTTGTTCTGCCTGAAAGGGCATCTGCTTGCCAGCATCCTGCTCTGAGATCAGTACTAACTGGAAGAACTTTGTTTTCTTGCCCCAGTAACACTAAATGAAGGCTGACAATTTGAACCTGCAGGCTAATTTGGGCAGAAATTGCTGAACAGCATTAACCACTTATTTTCATCTTTATTAAGCTATTCTGGGCTTCACAGAAATAATAGAAAAACTGTCATAAAAGAGGAAATGAAAGCTTTAGATTTTTTTTTCTCCTTTTCTTCTTCTTGTACTGAATGTTTAGCTCTTTCACAGGAGCGAGACGTTTTTGTGTCACTTTCTTAACTTCTGTTTTACAGACTTGGGCAGCTTGCTGCGTTAGCTGGGATAGACCAGTCAGATTTTGGTCTATTGGGGCATCCACAAATGAATTCTACTCTTACTAAGCCTGCTAAGGTGCTAAAGGAGAAGTCATTTGAGGAAGAAAGACAAGAACATACGCAGAATAGTAAGGTAAGCCTATAGAGGGAATGCTTGTGGCAATGTTGGTGCCATTTAACATACTTTTCGATTGTTACTCCCCTTCTAACTGAAAGTCATGATTAGCAATGCTCTGTGAAATTATCCCCGTCTTTTGCTGCGTGTATGTGTATATTTATATAGGTTGTAGTGATTAAAATAGTAACGCAAGTCTTTTCATGTGATCACCATTTGGAGCGGAAGGCATACCGTATCTCGTAATGCACTTTAAAAAGTGATGGTGATTATGTTATTTCTCATTCTGAAACGTAAAGTGCCCATACTGCTATGCATCAGTTAATAATAATACTGTGACTGCTTTTTAAACACCTAAAAAAAGATGTATAGTGGGTTTCAGTATCTTCAAAATCTGATAGTAGAGGGTAGTACTAATGCCTGTTGAAAACCTGGAGTTTTCTTTTAAGTAGTGTCAGACTTGTGTTCAGTCCTACTAAACAGATTTCTAGGCAGGATACACCTTGAATTTCAGGTCACAGAAATCTGTAATATTAGCAGCAGAAAATGTTACTTTCTACTCTGAAGGTAATGAGCAGACAACCTACTGGATTTTTCAGAGAAGGTGCTGAAGTTCCCTTTCCTCTTAAATAAATAAAATGGGAGGGATAGCCAGGCTTATGTTCTCAAGGTGATTAAAAATTAAGACGTTGGCAGCCTACAGTCTTGTTCAAATTGGATTAAATTGTCAAACTAAGACTCGTTCTGCATTCTAGCATGTTTCTAATATCCATTGTCTTCCCTATTGTGTTCCCCATTGTGTTCTTGAAGATTTTTTGGATCACAAAGAACTTCAAAAGCATGATAATAAAATTTTTTTTTGGTTTTTGTTTGTTTTAATGGTGTACAAAGCAAGTTGCAGTTCTGTAATTTGAATCGGTATTAACTCCATTTGGAGTAGTAGAGTAATTGTAATCACAAGTTTAGGTTTTTTGAGATCCTTATCATTAAGCTTATAACAATGTTTTCATCTGATGAAGCTCTTCTACACTGTGACTTTAATGTGTTGAAGAAGCTTGTTCAAATCACTCTTCCTAATTGAGCTATGTTTAAAGGAAACCTGGATTTAAAGTGTTTTAAGTGTACCTGCCACGTGGAAGAGTTTGAAAAGTTTCAAATAACATTCCCACTACTATCTCTTAGTTATGTCCTAGTATTGCATAGTTTTTGTGGATTATGTTGTTAGCAGCTAGGTACTGTGATATAAGACTGTATTGGAATCGGGCTATTGTGAACACAGAGCAAACACTGAATTGCGAAGAATCCAGAATGCTAAAGGTAATTGTGCTTTGGCTGCTTCCATTTAACTGATTTGTCTCTGTAGCATAAAGATGAAGATACATGTGCTAATGACACAGTAGGCATATTAGTTTCACGCTAGCAGCCTTCTGAAACTTGCTGGCTTAGAGAGGTAACAAGAGTTTGTGATCTTTATTATCTTTGAATCTTGTATAGCTTATGTAAAGAGTTTGTTTTAGTTTACAAGTTAAGTATATAGTTGGAGTACCTTCCCCCCCCCCCCCGGGTGTGTCAGTATCTTAACTAGAATGTTTTTTCAGAATGGAGGTAGAGACATCCAGGTTTCTTTGCCTGGCACGCTTCAGTCCCAGATGGTTGTGAATAATGCCTTCTCAGCTCCTAGAGAAACGCAAGAATATCAGGTTGTTATGCAACAGCAGCCAGGCTCATGGAAAGACAATGAATTTCAAACAACTAGCCAAAGTAAGGAGGATAACCCCCGAAGCAGCACTCCAATGTTCTCTGAGAGGAGAGTCAAACAGAATGAACATGCAAAAGGGCATCATTCAGCTAGACAATCGGTTACTAATCTGCATTCATTTTCTGCTTCTAATGTTAGTATTAAAAGTAACGGTAGCAGAAAATCCAGTTATTTTTCTAGTGAAAAAAGTAAAAGTTCTTCGAAGAAATACACCCACAGAGCAAATGAAACTGCAGTTGTAAGTACTGTAGCAAGAGCAGACCAAAGTAGACTACAGATAGCAGACCTCTCTGGAACTGATGCTGTAGGATCTGGTTCTGAAATACAAGAGAGCATTCATTCTGTGCCCAGCACTTGAAATGGTTCTGAAATGTTTGGACTGTTCTTCTTACTTTGAAGATTAAAAATAAATTTTGGATGCCTTATTATAGGTCATGAATTTTTGTGAAGAAATGTAGCCTTTGAAAATATCTAAAGCATTATTTCATGATGTTTAGTGTTCCTGTTTTGTGTTTTTATCACTTGTCACTGGATTTTTCTGAAACATAAAATGGATGATGTACTGGTGGAATAGCACCCTTCAGTTTGTACTATATACAAAGGATTCCTGGGGTATGAATTTTACTGTGTATCACAGATCTCATTGTAGAGTATAAACAGTTTTGTAGCTATTAAAATTAATTTGAATACAAATTATGGTTTGCATTTCCAGTGTGTTACAGTAGAATTGAAACAACAGTTTTAGGGCAAATACATGCACTATTAGGCACCAATAGATATGTAGTTTCCAGTGGCAGTAGAAGCTAGAGATATGAAAATTGAGTCCACAGACATCTCTCAAAGATGTATCTAAATACAGCCCTTATTCCTTACTGTTGTAACTGCCGATAATAGCCCAATAAAGGTTGGAAAGGACCTCTAGAGCTCATCTAGTCTCATTCAGTCATGTTGCTCTCAGGGCCTAGAGAAATGTAAGAGTATAGAACCAAAAGAATATCGTTACTCTGAAACTCCTGGGTTTGCCCCAAGCAACTTGTTCCTCTGCTTTTGCCCAGACAGCTGACTTGCAGCTTCTGAACTATGATACAGAGCAACATAGGTCTGTATTTGCCACAGACCTGTGTCACAGGAAAGCAGATGGTTTTGCACCAGGAATATTAACAAGTGGTCTTGGGGTGGGGGAGAAGCCGCATCATTCTTGGTATGTTTGTACACTTGCCTAACTGCCATGAGGCATTCTGTCCAGAGCTTAATATAATAATTATAGCTATCATATGATTAGTGATTAAAGTTAGTGAATGAGGCTAACGAATAATGATTTTGTGCATATAAAGAAATGGGAGTTCAATTGTAAGTTAAAGCAGCTAGGTCTGGTCCTGGGGAGTAGAATCTGACATGCAATGCTTCTCTTTAAAAGAAGAATTATAAATGTATAAAATGATCTCATGCACAGGGGGTGAGGAAAAGCTGCCTTTTTGAAAACTGATTCAAACTTAAATAGTTTAGTGAAACTATTTTCATAGTATTAGCTGAGATTTTGAATGATAAACTTCAATTTTTATTTATGACATGGAATTTTTTCGTTGGCAAAGTATATTTCTTCTGGAGAGTTAAGGGTTGGGGAGAGGGGTGGGGAGTAATGCATGACGGATTTCACACAGAGGAATTAGGCAAGATGATTTTGGTGGAACTGTCCAAAAAAATTTACTATGTACCTTGACTTTTTATTTCGTCATCAGTAGTGAGAGTTCTAGAACACACAAGATCTGTAGAAATTCCTGTCTCCGGTTGCTTGATAGCTATGGAGAAACCCATGCATCCTCAAATGGAAGCTTTCTGCTGAGCAAATAGCACGATATCACCTTGGCTGCTGCAATATTGCATAAGTAATTGCACAATGAAAGCATGTTATTTATATAGACTTTGTGACTTCATAAAAATAGCAGATATTTTATTCATCTATTTCTATTTTTTAGACATTCTCCCAAGCGCTTAGTGTAGGTTCTAGACTGAAGTCTCTTAGTCTGTTACTTTGACATCATGTAATTCAGTCATGATGCTGTGCTTCTGTTCTTGATTAATGGATCAATTATACAAGATCAGTTTGTTCAGCAGTAAAATGTGATAAATACCTTCTTTAACGAAGCATTGTGAAGTAGTAGGTGAAATTATAATTTCAAGTATTAAGATCTGTAGGGTTAGCAATTGCTGATGTTATTTTTCCTAAAAATACTTTAAAGTATTTAAAATAGTTCATGTATTTTAAGTCCATAAATAGGGTGCATAAATACCTTCTAGCTTAAATACACTATTTGCTTTTAAAATATACCATGTGTCAAAGGTCATACCTCAAAGCAAAAGTGAGCAGGCACTGTATAATTGAGATGGGTGCACTATTTTTTTCCGTGGGATTAAAGCAAAAAAAAAAAAAGGAAAAAGAAAAAATGATCTTGTTTGCGGTATCTTGCTATCTCGTCAGAAGTAAGGTTGCGTAGCTCTCTTCTGTGAGACTCTGATGTGTATATGTATAGCTGAATGCTGGAACTTAAGTCTATAGAGATAACAGATATAAGATGTCTGGGAGAGAAGTACTGAATTTAAGGCTAAAATGAGTATTTCAGAAGTTGCAAGACTTTTTATTAACAAATGCACTTTTAGAAAAATATTTTTGTCTGTAAAATATTTAATAAAAAGTAGCATGTAATAAAGTATGTATTTTTGTGTGTACATATAAATATATATATATATATATATATAGCATGAGTGAAGTGATTATGAATCCATTTTACCCCTGAGTTTAGGTATTGACTGTTCCAACCTCTTGCTAGTAGTTAATGTTTGACATATTTGTCTGTGTTCTTGTTTGACATAAAAACCCTGAAATCAATAAGCTAGCTATTTGCTAGACAGCACATTACTGTTTACTTACAAGACTCTAGCATTTTTATCTCCTCATTTGGGCTTCTCAGAAATTATTTTACATGCTTCATATTCGCAGTGTTTGGAGCCAGATTCCTAGTGGAGGAAAAAGTGTCTAAATAACCTGCATCTTATTTTTAAGGCTTATCAAAATTTACCAGGTTCACTGTCCAAACATCCAGGCTGCCTCCTGAAATAGCTGCCAGGTTGCTATCTAGTCAGTGTTATTTGTCCTTTAATAGTGACGTCAGGTTGTACGTTATTGTACTGGCAGAGAACTTGGGCGTGGGCTCTCTCCTTGAGAGAGCTGATTCTTTTCCAGCAGTAGTCAATGAAGGCTTTTCTGTCCTGCTTTCCTGAAGTCACAACGAAACCAATAAAAGTTTGCTGAAAACTTTGGAGCATATAAAGTGTTACACTTGCTGTGAAGTATTTTCTTGTTTTTTGCCAGTTCACATCATCGTCCATACAGCCCTCACTGATTTTATGTTTGTGTTAATTCTGCAAATTCACGTTTTTTGGAGGCATTTGTAGCGCTGTTAAATGCTGGAAGCTAGAAGCATTCCTGTTACTATCTTGAAAACTTTGTATGTTATATGGGGTGCCTATGTATGAATATGAACTGTTTTCGTGTAATGAAAATTATAAATCATAATCGTTGATAGCTGGAGAGTTGAATTACCTCAATTCACTGGAAACAAGGTGAGAGACCCTTACAGTTCCTCTTCCTTCCCCTCTCCTATTGCAAAAACAGAATGAATCCCTTTCATAGGCTATTTTTTGTTGAGGTAACTTTCTGGTATATACGTCTTTATCAATTTTGTTTACTCATCAATGCAGAAAGTGAAATCAACTTTCTGAAACTCTGGATGCCAAGTCTTCCAGCAGAGGCCTCTGATCTCATGGGAGCTACTGTTTTTGACCCTTCTGGTTGAGATAGGATTTTCTCTCAAGTGGAAAAACTTCAGTACCTGCTATTTACTCCCTGTGCTCTGGGCTGATACCTGCATCAGCTTGCCTAGTTTCTATTCTTGCATTCTAGCTCTTTGTGCCAAAAGATTGAATAACACATTTAAGTCCAAAATTACAGGTTGGCTGTAATTTTGTGCCAAGCTGTTTGGCTTCGAGACTGATCCTGCTCGAGTGCTAAAGCGTGTCCTGCAGTAACGGGCTAATTACTGAGCTGAACCCCAGCCTACATTACTTGGCTACTTTGACTGCCGCTTCTCCCCTAGGATGTGTTTCCCCCAGCAGCTCATAGTTGAAGGCTGGCTCTCCAGGCAGGCACAGGCAGTCTGGGTTTAATAATGGGAAAAGCCCATATAAAGAGCACACATTTCTTAAGTCTATTTCTGTTTTAAACCCTAGTAAAAGTGATTGTTACTGTAGTGTCATTGCTGTTGTTACTGAGCATTGCAGTTGATGCTTCTATTTAGTTAGGACTAATTTTAATACTTAAGTAGTTGTTCTGGTGGACTAAGATGGATTTTTAAAAGGCCCTGATGTTCTGAAGGGAAGAAGCGTTGAGTCTGTAATGTGCTTAAATGCTGCTATATCTCTCTTGGAGCTAAGGAGGGTTCTGGTGCCTGAAGATAAGAGTTTGGTGAGGTTTTCTTAAGCTGCATTCATTACTGAAAAGAAGATATGCTTTGCTTTAAAATCACTGTATTAACATTTTTTTGAACAAAATAGCTTGTGTAGGATGAAAATCAGCTAGCACAGTTCACTTACATTCTGCTGTGGAGTATCTTGAAATCAAGATACTGGATTTAAAGAGCACAGACTGGTTTGGTATTTTAAGTTCTTTTGCAGTTCTAGCTTTGAACTACCTTGGCAGGAAGACAAGTACAAGTGGTGAGTGTTTCTTCAGTGGAATAAAATGTAATGAAAATCTCATCTAAATCTCAGTATTCAAAAAATAATGCATACTAATGCGTTCATTTCTGAAAAAAATGCTTTAAGGAAATTTTGTATCCAGATTTTTGTTGCTGGAAAACTTGGTAAACATGCTCAGGTTGGTAGTGTCAGGTGTATGGGGAAGGCTGGGCAGGGTAAGGCGTTGGAGAGCTGTGTGCCTCACACAGCTGCGTGTGAGATCCGTGAGTTTCATCCACATTTTTAACCTGCGGGACTGGAGTGAGACCATCTGTTTTCAGTCATGCTTAAGGGCTTGTTCTGTCATAATTGATTTAATGCTACTTCCTTTACGATCACTTCTGCAAATGGATTGTACAGCAGTGAGAAGAAAGAGGATGAGCTCAAGCCTTTCCTGCAGTCACAGTTAAACTGGCGTATTAACGCCGCGGTTCCAATGGCCTTATACCAAGGTAGGAGGGGGGAAGAAGGGTACCTCAGCTCCCAGCTCTGCTCTATCCTCTGTGAAACGGATCCCCGTTTCCCGCCTCCCCCGTTTTCATTCCTTCCTATAAAATACAAACGGCAATTCCGCTGCCGTGGGCTGTTTCTGACTATAAACGGCGCCCTCCGCCGC